ATATTCTGCTGGAATGTTTTAATGGAAAGTTTTAATCTGCATCCTGTTGAATTCAGCTAAAATCTTTGATTCTTTATTCAGACTGGCGTTCTGCAGTCTCTCAGAGATCAGCTGGGCTTCTCTGGGCTCAGCTCTGAAGTCTAATCCATCCCATCTGACAGAACTGGACCTGATAGGAACCAACCTGGACCCTGGAATGAAGGAGCTCAGTGGGTTTCTCCAGTCTCCCCTCTGCAAACTACAGATACTGAGGTCAGATGTAGAATATTTGTTTTTTCTAGTAACATTACGGTGCATTACATCCAGTACATCACAGTATAGTAACATTACTTTGATCAGGGGCCCTCCTCTAAGTCACTGATTCTCAACCTTTTTGAGTTATGACTCCCAATTTAACACTGTCCAGTTATACGTTGCATTTATATAATCTGACAAGCCTTAACTCCTTTCAGCTTTTAGTCTCTTTATTGTCTTATTTTTAAACACATTGGTACTTTTTGAAAACCATAAAGCTGCATCAAGAGGCTAACTTCCCACCCAGACTGACAATGGTCACTCCATCCCATCATTTGGCTGTTAAAATGGCAACAAATGACACAAACTTTATTTTCTTTTTCAATGAAGTAAAACAATAACAGCTTTTGCTAAACCTTAACAAGTCACACTAGAAAACAGGCCTTGTTTCATTTTAAACATCTTTGTTTCTGGGAGCTTAAACCTGAAAAATAACTTCCTGATCCAAAGCAGAGAAGTTTTTCTGTAACTATTTAAAGTGACGGCTGATCCTGCTCGTTTAAACAGAGCAGCTGCATTCTTGGATTCATGTTAGAAACGGCCACATGGAGATCAGTCTCAACTCTTAGGAGTCATACTCTGGATTTTTTAATGTATGTCAGCATAAAAAGGTATTTTTTCAGTCATGATTCAGGAAGTACTTATTGAAACTTTCAAGCAGGCTCCTGAGGTGAGAGGCAATAATTGGTTTCCTAGTTTGAATGGTTTTGTCGTAACTCTCCATAAAGTCCTGAAGCTCCGGGATCATTTCAACATTTCCCCCATCCTCTCTATAGCTCACTGCTCCAGCTTTCTCTGAAATACTGTGACCTTAGCGGACAGGTTGGTTGCTGTTGTTTTGGTGCAGCCTGGTTATGGCCAACAGTCACTGCTTTAGAGTAATAAAATGCCTGTGAGACCAACGGCTCGCCGTCCTTCTGATGTCTGCTCAGAAGCTACATTCATTTTGCTCATTCTATTTTTCCAAAATGATTTGGTTACCTCCAGGAATCATCTGGCGCCCCCAACTGGGGTCTGGAGCCCTAGGTTGAGAAGTCCCTGAGTGGGACAGATTGTGTGGAGCTGCCAGTGTTCATCCTGCAACACTGAAAACCAGAGAGCAGCTCAACTGTAGCTTTTCCTGCTGTCCCTCTCCTGGCCTCCACAGCTGAACAGTTAGATGCTGATCCTACAGCATCAATAACAAATATCCAACAAATATGTGTCTAAATCAGCAGCACTGCTGACCTCAATAGGAGGGAATGGGGAAGGTCACCTATCCCTCTATCTCCCCTCTTTAAAAAAATATACACAAGATACTTGTTAGAAGAAAAAAATTATAGAGGAAAAAATTATCAGATTTAGTTTCAGCAATAAACATTTTCACAAACATTTTTAAATTCAGAGAATCTCAGTGTTGTGTGAAAAAAAGTTTTCAACTGTTTAGTCCAGTTAAATAAAGGAGATCGATGGATTTACTCAGTCAGCACTTTAAAGGAGAACAAGACATTCACATGCACAGCATGATGGTCTGCCAAGTTCTAACCTTAGACAGAGTTGTTCCCTAACCTTAGACAGAGTTGTTCCCTTGCTTTTGAGGCAGAGTCAAAACAATGTTAAACAGTTACCTTGAAAAAGTATGTGGTTTTGTTATGGGAAAAAGGTATGTTTTGTCTATAACCTTCTTTCACTCAGACATTTTGTGGCCTTGCAAGTGAGACAAACTAGCTGAGAAAAAAACATTTCTATAGAATACATAGCATACTTCAAATACTTAGAAGGAAAGAACAAAAATAAAATTTTCCGACGACAGTTTCGCCCTTTCCATTATAAAAGGATCTCATCCTTGTGTAATCGATAATTTCAAAAAGGAAAATTTTATAAATATATGTAGGGAAAAAAACAACAACAAAGTAAACAAAACTAAAAACTAATTGTGAATAAATGTAGAAATCTAAAAGCTAAAAGTGTGAATATATGTAAAAAAAAAAATCTAAAAACTAGAATGTAAATATTTGTACAAAAATCTGTTGACAATGTTAAGAAATGATTATGAAACAACAATGATTACAAACCATGAAACTATAAATCATCATAAAATCAACCATGTTTAGGCGATATAACTAGAAAAAGTATATATTTCACTCAGATTAAATGTTTTCTCAATACCATCAATCTTAGTCTGCTTCCCACAGAGGCACCCTTAAGGGAAAATATAACATGTAACTTTCAAAACATTAAAACCGTAAAATGTAAAAATATACCATACCAGCAACGATAAAGGATTTCCATTTACCAAAAACGGAGCTAAACCAGTCAGGTATGTCCTGAACCCCAGAATCCTCAGCCATCTGATTTGCTAAAGTACGTAATCCATCTAAAGCCTTTGTTATCGAACCATCAGGTGCCATGTTTTGAGGAATAAAAGTACAACAAAGGGAACCAAACATTGCACAACTCCTCCTTTCTCAGCTAACAGCATATCTAAAGCCATTCTATTCTGCCAAGATGCAAGTGAAGATGCTGACAGCTGCGTGGCTATTCCCTCTAAGGCATCTCTGGTTAGGTTTGTCAGGCGTTGGAGATTAAAATGCACATAATTAATGTGGTCAACATTTTTATCAGGAGTGATCCAAAGGAAAATTGATTCAAAACCATTTGCAATGGGATTTGCTAATTTGTACTCATCTGGAACGCCCTGATGAACTCCTATAGCATCAAAATAAGTTGGACTTCCACTTGTAGGAGAAAAATCTAAACTCCCCGGAGACCCTTAACAGAATGACTTAAATGTCCTGGCAGGACTACAGGCATGGCAAGTCTGACTAGAGTACAAGTACCTGACCAGCGTGGAGCCAGGAAATTATACAGCGTTTTTGTACCACAATACCAGAAAAGATCAGCTCTAGCATGAAGAAGCGAACTAGCATTAGCCCAAGAGGTAACATTTATAGTGGAGGAACACCAAGATGAGGGCATCTCTCCTAAAAAGCTATCATTTCTTCTGGTCAAACAGGTGTAATTACCTGCACGAGGAGTAAAAATAGGAGGAATGGTGGTGTTGCTAGCTGGGGGAAAAAGAGCATTTAGGGTTGGACACTCAGGGGGTGATGGATTCATGTGTAGAGCTAACATACAATCAAACCCAGGATGGTCTGTCTCATATAACAGAGGAGCAGGGGAAGTGAAAAGCGTTGGTCTAGCTGTGGAACATGCAATGCAGTCTGTCATGTTATTGCTCTTAGCAGTAAATGTAATCCAATCAAGCCAAGTGTTTTTCTCTGTAAAACCTGTTTCCACCTGCATCATTGCATCTGAGGAAGAGAGGTTCAAATAGGTTACCAGTGGGTCAGGTGTGTCTGTACCTGGAAGGAAACTATCCACAGTAGCATCAGAGACAGATCGTAAGGCTGGAGCTGGGTCAACAAACTGAATTTTAAACACTCCTCTTGGGTCCTTACCAAAGACATTAACACCCAAAATTAAGTGAAAATGTTCTAAGTCCCTGTGGTCAGCAGCTGACCATGGATTAACCCACATGTTTTTAACCGTCAACACTAAAGGATTTCCTCCTCGTTTGTAAGTTTCCTTGGTTCTTTTAGCTCTAACTAAACTTATCTTATCTCTTAAACCTGAAGGAATATACTGGTTGCTAGGATTAACATAACCTCTAGGATTAGAATTCCAGTAAACAAAAGACCAATCTGGACACCATGATTCAGATGTAGGCTTACCACGTGGGAAAGTACAGATATATACCTTAGCCTTTTTGTATCTTGCATCAAACCCCTTACATGGATTCACATCAAACAGATCGAATTTTGCTGCCACAGTGGTGTTTCTGGGTACCTGTATGATTACCTGATCCACTCCTGCTATGGTACATCGTTTCACGAAACCTTGGGAAGTAACATCTCTTTTACCTCTAATAGAAACATTCAGAGTGGGCATAGTAGCATTGACATCAGTAGTATTTGTACCATTTTGAACTCTTGTCATATCATCAGTTATGTTTTGTCCTGAAAGGTAAAAAAGGTCAACAAACATCCATAACAGAAACAGAACACATGGAATCACAAAGAGACAAGCAATTGTCTTTTCTCCTCTTCTGTACATCTTCATTGTTTCAATTGAAACAATTCTCTTGTAGCGAATCATTTCCGTCGTCCAGGAAAACTCCTCTTCCTCCCTTGTTTTTTTATTTTATTTTTTATTTTTTTCAGAAGATAAGGGATAATATTATGCACAACAAAGCAATAATAAGATGAATTTCCTTGGGGAAACAAAGCACTTTATCAGAAAGCTCCTCTTCTACCCCTCTCAATAGCCTTCACTTGAGGGGTGTTATGAAGTAAAATGCAGGCAGGGAATTACTCCTTCAAGGGAAATAGAATAAACAATCTTCACCACCTCTTCGGACAGCTCGCCAGCTGACCAGCATACAGTTTGAAGCTTGTGGTGGCCTTTGTGCAGAACAGCTGGTCTTCAACACATCAGGTAGCCTATTGATGTGTCAATTAAATCAGAGGGGATTATTATGCCCCTTTCCTTCCGTAAAAGAAACTCAGGCCTCCTGTGACCCGGATTCCTCCTCTGATCCTGGGAAATCTTGCGGTGGGACGTCTGGAGGAGGTGGGACTCTCCTGCAGTGTGATGCGTGGATCCAGGAAACGCGTTGCTCTACTTTAACTGCTGTGTGGGTGACCAGCAGCACCTGGAAAGGGCCAAGCCAATGTTTGGAACGCCAGTGCTTCCTTCGGAAATGCCTCACGACAACCCAATCCCCCGGAACGAAGGAATGGAGGAACCCTGGTGCCCCGGCTGGAAAGGTCGCCTTCACCGTCTGTGAAACTTTAGAAAGGACAGTGGAGAAATTTCAACAATAAGCTAACATGCTATCATCACACAAGGAGGTGGAGGGTAAAGGCCTTGGCATAGATCCAAGACCCATGTTTGGAGGCCTACCAAACAACACCTCG